GTTTACCCGCGCCAAGCGACAGGTACAAATAGTTTTTTTCTTTCATAAATTAGTTTCTGGAGACAATTCATACTATTGAAAAATTCAATATAGTTAAAAAAAATACAAGTTCAAAGTTAAAAATACATAAATTTAATTATAATGTCCCTAGTTTGTAACGGGAGCACATGCAAATTCTTTCAAAGAAAATAATACATATATTTTAAGCATTCAAAGTGTAAGAACCCATGAAATACGATGACACACGTCAAAGTCTAAAGATAATACACATTCCAAGTCACCATATTTGAGTTTACATTTCAACTTTGCAAATATAATTGTACATGTACAAACACCAAGCATGTCCATAACGTAATGAGATCTCTAAGTCTAGGGTGGTGGTAATATATAACCAAATCTAGACTTTGTGCCCAATGTCGACCTTGCTGGACATTTTCCATTAGTGGGGTGTAGAAGGTGATGGATTTTAGGACCATCAGCTCCAGGGTGGTGATGGTGATGGACATAGTGATTAGTGGGGTGTAGATCATGGTGGTGGTTGCGGAAGTCTATGACATTGGAGGTGAGTATCGGGGAGCGTATTTTAGGGTTTTTTAAGACGGGTGGTTGAGAGAATGTGAGAGAGAGTGGAAAAGCTTTATAACGTGTACATGGTATTAGACGATTCAATTGGATATGATGAATACTTGCTCAAATTTCGACGCGTTCAAAATCTTATCATTTTTATGACTTTTTCAGAAATATTGACCGGATAAGATTCAATATTAAACCGACTCAATTGGATATGATGAATACTTGGTCAAACTTTGACGCATTCAAAATCTTATCATCTTATGACTTTTTTATAAATATTTACCGGATAAGATTCAATATTAGACCGATTCGATTGGATATGATGAATACTTGGTCAAACTTTGACGCATTCAAAATCTTATCATCTTATGACTTTTTCATAAATATTGACCGGATAGGATTCAATATTAGACCGGTTTAATTGGATATGATGAATACTTGGTCAAACTTTGACGCATTCAAAATCTTATCATGTAACTTATAATAACTCAATTAAAAATATTCTAGCTAAGTACGTATTATATGTGACATACATAAATTATATGTATTATTGAAAAGATAAATAAAAAAAATCATAATAAAAAATTTTAATACAACTTTTATAACGAATATCATTGGGCGTGTTCGGCACGCAGCTTTTGGGAGCTTCTAGCTTCTAGCTTTTAAGAAAACGTTAGTTAAAAAGAAAAAGTCTCGTTCGGCGACAGAAGCGTTTAGCTTCTAACCTAAAAAAACGCTCCAAAATCAAAAGCTACATGGAGTAGCTTTCAACTAAACGCTCCAAAATCAAAAGCTACCAGCTACCCGCTACCAATTAGTTTTGTCGAACACGCCCGTTTTTCTAAATTCTAAATTAAATTAGAGACCGAAACAATTTAAACCATTTTTTAAGGATATAAAAGTAACAATTATACAGAAAAAGATGTAATTAGCTTTTAGGGATGGAGTTTCCTAAATCCAAATACATATGCGGTAACCAAACAAAATCAATTTCCATTTCATTTTATGTTTTCTAGTGACATTCTATTACTCTCTTTTACAGTTTTTTTTTCATTGGGTCAAAAAGATATTTTTAATTTCTACTACATTCTTTTCAGTTTTTTTTGTCTGTCCAAGATATCTCGTAAATGATTTTTTTGTCTGCCCAAAGTATTTCATTGATATTCCATATCGTTTCAAAAAAAAAAAAATCTTTTTGTTGTTATTTATTTTTATAAGACTTTTATCCAAATGTGTTGTCTATTTTTTATAAATTTTAAATACATATATGTATATCCTTATAATTTTACAAAGACAAAAACTGAAAATTAAGAAATCAAAGTGTCTTGAAATTTCCACATAAATTAAAAGAGATTAACAAATCCAAATCATACTTATATTTAGCATACGTGTTTTTATTTACTAAGTTTTATTTTACAATCCTTTTTCTTTGAACTTTTGATTATATCAAGTTTAATTTTCCATATCATTAAATTTATTATACGTAAATTAATATTAAAAAATAATATAAGTAATACATTTATTATTGTTCATTTGACACATTTCTAGAAAAACCAAACCAAATGCATCTTCCTATCTAATAAACGAAACCTTT